ACTGCCCTTTGTAAGGTGCCGCTATATGTTAGGGTAGGCTGAGAGGGGCAGATGGGAGAGGAATGGGCACTCCACAGGAACTGTGGACAGGCTCACCGGCATGCAGATGAGGGCCTATGACCTCACTGTAGTTCCTTCTGCATCATTAAACTGAGATACACGACCTTTCAAGCCATCTTGGGACCCAGAACTCAGAGAGCACAAGGGTATGGGTGCATCAAAACCAGCACTCCTGACATCTTGATCTTGGGCTGTATGATGTGGGAGCAGGAGTAGGTTTGTCCTGTGCACTGTCTTGGGCATCCTGCAAGGGCAATGCCAGCAGGTAGGGAGAAATCTTCTCAAATAAACTGTGGTTGGTTTCCCTCTGTCTTGATGCAAGCTGTTCCTGCATCTGAACAACGTTCCCAGGGATGGGCCCAAGTGGCCAGTGCAGAGCCAAGATAGCATGGAACAAAAGTTTCCAAGAAGAAAAATCCTCTATTCAGCAGAGCCCTGTCAGGTACCTGGGAATAAACAGGAATGACCTTTACAAAACACAGGGGCAATGCTGTTACTTTTTGTCTACTTAGGAAGAGTGAGACTCAGTGGAGAAACTGCCTCCATTGGATTGGCCTGCGGACATGTCTGTGGGGGCATTTTCTTGATTTCTGATTGATATGGGAGAGCTCAGCCCAATGTGGGCAGTGTCTCCCTGGGCAGGTTGTCCTGGGTTGTGTAAGAAAGCAGACTGACACTCCTCCTTGCCCCTTGCCCAGGCAGGTGAGCTGGCCCTGAGGTCACAAGACTGGGTGAACTGTCCAAGCCTCTTACCAGGTGCCGCACTCAAGAGAGTGGGCACTGCATCTCACCCAGGTAGCATACTAGATCTATCAGTGGGGACATGTGAGCCACCCTGAGGGTGTGAGAGCAGGAGAGCTGACTCTGTCCCCTCTAGTCTGCCATGTGGTGGCATGGATGAGGGAAAGATGCCCTCACCCACCCCTCCCTCTGCCCCTGCAGCAGGCAAGAGAGCTGGCCTCAGGAGGGGGATGAGAGCAGGAGAGCTCACTCTACCCCTCATCAATTGCAGCATTCGGAAGAGTGGGCCTGGGCTAAACAGGAGAGCTGGCCCTGGTGGTATGGGTGCAGGTGAGGGCATGAGAGCTGCCTAATTGCCCCTGCTTTTTGCTGCCTGTTGCACTGGGTGAGAGATAGCCAGGGCAGTGCTGGAGAGCTCACCCTGGCTGTTGGGCTGACCAGCCTAGCTACCACCACCCAGGCCCAGAACCTGGGCTATGAGTTAGCTCACTCCAGCATCCATGTTACCTATGAACTGCTGGAACATGTGAAGGGGCCAGACCTGCAGATCCGAAGCTGCTGTATCTCCACAACACAAGGCGACAACAGGATATCCAAGAGCAGTCCCAGTGAGGGTCTAGTGTTGATAGTGTTGCAGAAGCCAGATGCCTCAAACTAGACTAATGACTCATTGCAACGAGCACTTGCAAGTGAAGGTGTGTGGATTAAAGGGTTTACCCTGTGGCTCACTGTGTCACATTACAGCCTCTACACAGAGACGTTTTTTTCTTTTGCTTTTCGTTTTTCTTTTAAATTTTATTTTTTTGGGAGAGGTTGCAAGGGCAGAGGGCAGAAGAGATGGGGAGAGAATAGGATCGTGATGCATGACGTGAAATCCACAAAAAAATCAATAAAAGGTTAATGAATGAATGAATGAATGAATGAATGAAGTGGGTTGAGAAAGCTACAGAGGGCAATTCCATACGAAGTGTTCCTTCATGGCCCCTGCTTCAGTTCCTGCCTCCAGTTCCTGCCTTGTCTTCCTTGATTGTGCTGGCTGATTTTGTGTGTCAACTTGACACAGGTTAGAGTCATCAGAGAGGAAGGAGCCTCAGTGAGGAAATGCCTCCATGAGATCCGGCTGAAAGGCATTTTCTCAATTAGTCATCAATGGGGGAGGGCCCAGCCCATGGTGGGTGGTGCCATCCCTGGCCTGGTGGTCCTGGGTTCTATAAGAAAGCAGGCTGAAGCCAGGCGTTGGTGGAGGCCTTTAATCCCAGCACTCGGGAGGCAGAGGCAGGGGGAGGTCTGTGAGTTTGAGGGCAGCCCGGTCTGACTTTCTTCAATAATGAATAAGGATGTGGGAGTATAAGCCAAATAAACCCTTTCCTCCCCAACTTGCTTTTTGGTTATGGTGTTTCATTACAGCAATAGAAGCCCTAATTAACACAACGAGGCAAACCCTTTCCTTCTCAAGTTGTGTTTGATTATTGTGGTGTTTTGAATGAAAATAGCCCTCATAGGCCCACAGGGAGAGGTGCTGTCAGGAGATGTGGCCTTGTTGGAGTAGGTATGACCTTGTTGGAGGAAGTGTGTCACTGGGGGTGGGCTTTGGGATTTCAGAAGCTCAAGCCAGGCCCAGCGTCTGCTCTCTCTTCCTGCTGCCTTCAGACCCAGAGGTAGAGCTCTCAGCTACCTCTCCTGTACTATGTCTGCCTACATGCTGTCATGCTTCCTGCCATGATGATAATGAACTAAACTTCTGAACTGTAAGCCAGCCCCAATTAAATGCTTTCCTTTATAAGAGTTCGCTGTGGTCATTGTGTCTCTTCACAACAATAGAAACCCTAACTAAGACAGCCAGGTTTATTCCAGGAACAGAAACCAAACTAGAACAGGTGGCAGAAGCTGTTTCAGCCACGCCCATCAGCAGTTCATTGGGAATATAATCCTTCTGAATGTAGAGAGTCAGTAGTGCTTATGACCTTGCTGGAAGGCAAGCCTTCGGAGAGTTGAGTGATGGGGGATGTCCTTCTGCATGCCGTGAATATATGTTTCTCTTAATGATTGATGAATAAAGCTGTTTTGGCCAATGGGCAGACAGGATGTAGCCATGCTGGGCTACCAGACTAGGAGAATTCTGGGAGGAGGAACACAGAGAGTGAGTCTTGAGAGACACACCATGTAGCTGCCAGGGAAGATATATATCTGCACATCACTGGTAAGCTAAGACCATGTGGAGATACACAGATTAATAGAAATGGGTTCATAATTAAGACAGAGCTAGTCAATAAGAAGCCTGAGCCACCAGCCAAACAGTTCATGATTAACCTAAGTTTCTGTGTGTTTATTTGGGACTAAAGGGCTTAGGGACCAGGCTGGACAGAAACCTCCATCTACAGTTGAGAACCCAGGAATAACTTGACTTGCAGACACTGGTTGGAAAAGTGTCAATATGTGAGTTGGTCTTTGTACCCTATATGTACATATACATAAGACCCCAAATCTGTTCCTCTACTTCCAGAGAGAATGGAACCTGCATGTTGGTTGTTGCAGGGGCTCTCATTGGGGCAGGTTTTGTTCCCACGGGGAATATGTGGCAATGTCTAGAGGCATCTCTGGTTGTCATAACTAGAGGAGTGTGTGACTGTCATCTAGTGAGTACAAACCAGGGGCACTGCTAAATATCCTTCGGTATAGAGTCCCCTCCCCCCAACTATTCAGTTCCAGTTCAGAAACGTCAGGAGTTGTTAAGCATATGAAACTCTGGGCTGGTGCAAATGTAAATATATTCTCAGGTGTGCTCCTGGCACCAGTGTAGGATGTACTGGGCATGGGGCATGGCTAATGTGTGACCTTTCCTTGGTGACAAGTACTGGAGAGAGGAAAGTGGGACGGTAAAAATCCTGGACCATAAATGAGCAGGAAAAAATACCAGAGAAAGGGTGGTAGGAAGGTTAGAATTCTGGGACATAAAAGAGCTCCAGGCTAACCCCTCAAGGTAGGTAGAAGGAGAAGGGCAGAGTTTTTCATTTGAAGTCAACTCTTACTTATTTAAAAGCGATTTCCTTAAGCACATAATTATATGTTTATTTCCCTAAGGAACTCTTGAGGCAGAGGAGACTTGCTTAAATTATGGGGAGGGAACTGCACACAGGGCTTTAATGGGGTTAGAAAAATTTTCTGTCTCCTTCAAAGGAGCCTGGGGAGGAAGAGCAGACTCTGCTCTGGCAGTGCAGAGGATATGGGGAGGAACAGATGACAGAGAGGCCAAGGACCGGTCACATGGTCCAGCTGATCAGTGCTGGTGAGGAGACACACTCCGGGGCAGCTTCAGCTTACCATAGGGGTAAGCTCTGACAATGAACCGCAGGAGCTGAGGAAATGCACCTTCCACTCTCTTCCTGGGCCATGCCCTCCTCAGGAAAACATTACACAGACATGCACACTCCCTTGGGGGATGGTCTGGTTTGCATCATGGGCAGGCGTTCCAGTGGCAGGGGGCATGGAGCTTTTGGTGATGGGAAGGCCAGGGTTTCACGTGGTATATACTTCCTCCTTCCCCGTCACAGCCTGAGTGCCTGGACTTTTTGCGTTTCTTCTCTTTGGCTGATATTCCCCTGGGAGGGCTAGATAGGATCCAAGGAAGTAGCTAAGGAATGGACCTCCCCCGTTTGACACAAAAAGGATTCTAGGTGAGGGCACCTTACATTCCTTGTTTAACTAAGCCTTTTGTGGAAGGGTGAGCTGGATAATGTTTAGTTAGGGCCAGCAGAGGACGGGGAGAGAAGTCCTGGGGAGGGGATGGCATAGGCGAAGCTCTGGTCTTCAATACAAGAGATGGAGGCTATAGGGGAATTCTTGACTATTCTGTGCTGAGCCTGCAATAGTAGAAATGGCCTTTAGCATCTGTCATGTGGGAATGGACTGTCACTACCTATCTTCTCCTGAGAGTAGGAATCATGTTTTATTTTGCTGAGTCGCCTCCACCTCTGACAGCACCTAGTTCACACAGGCACTCGATGTATATCTCAGGGTGGATCTCCCTTCTTCAGTTCAGCCTGTTATGGCAGAAGACAGGGCAAAAATTCAGACTGACATTATAAGAGAGTCCACTGGGCTCATGTATGACATTCATCTCATCTCCAAAGTGTGGTGCCAATGGCAGAATGGAGCCCTACAGGGGAGACGTGAAGAAGACAAAACCCAAGAAACATGGCCAAGAGTCACAGCCCAGAGTTATTTATTTGATTACTTAATATCCACTCTATATAACCACCAAGACTCAGTTCAGGCATTCCTTGGCTTGAGGCTGGGGATGACACAGAGGCTGGAGGTAACAAATGAGCTGGGTACACCTGAGGCTGGTAAGAGGGGAAGAGGGGGAGAGAGAAGGAGGGGGAGGGGGAGAGGAAGGGGGGAGAAGAGAGACATCTGTGACACCCAAGTCTTCTGTACCCTGAGAAGAACAAAGGTGACCCAAGTGGGAGCAGATGAGCCTACATAAGGGGTGATATCAACAAGGACACTCCTGGTGTGGGAGTGTAGAGCCCCGAGGCTGCTCGGAGCTGGGTGGCCAGAGACACGGATCTCTTTCACTAACCCGTTCTCTAGAAACCATATCACATACGTTTAGGGAACAGCACCTAGAATTTCAACATCTTCAAGGAGACAAAAGCGTGTGTTGCAGTCCTGGCCCATCCTTCTGTTTTCCAGAACTGTGACCATGAGCTCTAGCCACCTCATTCAAAGAACAGAAATGGCTTTTATCTTTTCTACAACCCAGGGCTTACATGGAGTTGATGTACTGGGAGTGCTGTGTAACGCCATGCAGTGCAAATGAGTTCTTATTAGTTATTAACTTATATTCATGGGGTCTCAGCCATCCTGTCAATCAGGTTATGGCTTCGGGGAAATACTACTTCTGTCCAATAGGAGGCAAAGGGAGCTGAAGGCTGTAGAACTTAAGTCCACTTTCCATCCTCCCTGGCCACATTTTCCACAAGCAGCAGCAGACAGGGGGAGCTGTCGAGTTCCTTATTTTGTTCGCTGGTAGAACTGAAAGACAGCTTTCTCTTGTTCATAGGTCTCAATGGATCCCGGCCGCAGGCGCCGAATCTCAGCAATGGCATCCCCTGCATCCAAGCCCTGCTCCTTCACCAGGTAGCAGGCCAGCATGGTGCCGGTGCGGCCAAAGCCCAGGGCACAGTGCACTCCGACAGCCTGTGAAGAGGAAACCCATGGAGTGGAGTCCAATGCCCTCCCCAACAGTCTCCTGTTCCCACCGAAAGGTGCTGTTCTCCCCACAAATCTCAGGCCCTCAGAGGGCAAGTGACAGCAACACTGTTGAGGACTGTCCTTGCTTCTGGTGACATGGAGGCCTCAGAAGTGGCTGGTTCCCAAGTTGGGCTCTCAGCCTGCATCTCCTGCCCCCTCTATCTGTGCTGTCTGTTACAGAACACCCAGCCACTTGTGGTATTTTTTACCTGAAATGTGTCAGTCCAAATTGAGCTTGGGTGTAAAATATTTACCAGGCTCTGAAGATGTGGCACGGAAAAGACTGCAAATGCCTCACTAATAATTTATTTCATATTGATTCCATGTTGAAATAATATTTTTGACTTATTGGATTAGTAGCAAAATTAACTCCACCTGTTTCGTTTCATCTCTTTATGAAACGTAGCTGCTAGTAAAATTTAAAGTTACAAGTGTGTCTCCATGACATATGGACCTCTAGAAAATGGGTTTTGAACCACTTCCATCTGGCTTCGGCGCTCCGCCGACTCCTGGAAGCATTTCACTTGACAGTACTCTCTCCAGCCTGCTTGGCATCACCTAGCCTCCCTCTCTTCTAGCAGCAGAGCTGACTCTAGTCAGAGGATGGGTGGGTTTCATCTAGCTCCAGCCCAGCCGGGTCCCACCAGGCCCCGCCCACAGCCTCGCCCTCTCCTTTCTGACTCCACCCCCGCCCCGCCCACTCATTTCCGTCCAGGCTCCGCCCTTTCGCTTCGGCCTAGGCGAGCGCGCTGACCTCTCCGCGGGCGTTGGCCTCGTCCACGATCTTCACAAATTGGTCGATCTGTTCCGGGGCCGGCGGGCAAAAGTCAGGGATGTGGATTCGGTGCAGCGTGAGGCCCGGACAGCTGTCGCTGTGAGGGGGGCCGCGCTCCGTTAGGGACACCAGGTGCCGCACGCCCAGGTCCAGCAGGAACTGGTAGTGCGCGGGGTGCCGCGGCAGCGCCAGCCCGGCCAGCCGGCCCGGGAGCACCCAGGAGAAGTTGGGGGGCTGCACGCCCATCGCGGGGGGGAGGGCACTCAGGGCGAGGCCAGCTTTGCCTATTCCGCCCTCGCGACCCGGTCACCCCCTTAGCGGGCCACGTGGTCCCCGGACCCGCCCCTGTGACGCTCCTCTCCACCCAGGGTTGGCCGAGCCGCGGGGGCGGGGCTAAGACGGCTCCTAGACGAGCCGAGCTCTGCGGGCCCGCTGGTCCCGCTGATCCGGAGCAGGACCCTCGTTGATAGGTTGGATGATCAACAACAAGCTCGGTGATTGCAGCCGGGAGCGGATACACGAAGGAAACCTGGAACAAATTAATTGCTCCTGTAGACAAAACCACCTAGGGCTGGGCTCTGCTGCTCCCTGGTGGTGTGTTGTAGTTACTGCACGGCGGGCCAGCTGCCCTGTCACTCACTCTTAAGGGCCTAGTCTCCCCTTCACTGTTTATGCACAGGGGTTTGAGTTGGTGACAAAGCTGCTTCCGCCTGGTCACGCAGGCGTGGGTGGGTAATCTCCCTAATGTCCAAGCAGTCACTGTGGGTGTCTTCTTGGGTTCTTCTAGTAAGAGGGGATTCCTGTGTCCCAGGCAATTATCATTTACTATTGCTGGGACTGTTAAAAAAGGGCGTGGCTCGGGGAGAGGGGGGATTCTGACATGTGGCACCTTGAAATGTCGCTCAGGGTAATATGGTAATTACAGTCAACAACATAACAGCTAGCAATAACTGAGCGTTTGCTTTGTGGTATGTACTCGTGCAAGCACTCTTAATATGTTAGCGAATTGGCACAAGATAGTTGATGAAAGCAGCCCCCTTTTAGAGATGAGAAGACTGAGACACAGAGGAGGTTAAGAATCGTCAACAGCACAACACTTTCCTATAGTCAAACAGGAAATGGCATTTCCATCACTCAACCATCCTCACACCTTTCCAAACACCATCTTGTTTAAAGCCCTGGGTATTTAAAAAATTTTATTCACAGTTCAGACATCTCCTTATTCAAGGTCCTGCTCCCCCAGTCACTCTAGCCTGGTCAGACAGAGTTTATCAGTGTTATTCTTGAGCAGTATCTCACCCGGGTTCAGGGTACTGCGTGCTGTCTACTGAACGAGGTACCGTGAATCTGACTACCAGTAATTATGGGAATTGTTAGCGCTGTGCCAGGCCCTGTCTGTGTTGTATGCTTTCTCAAATAACAAAATGTGGAGAGTATTTTTGTATCCTTTTTGTACACCAGCAACCAGAGGCCGAGAGAAGTTGGGCACACTGACCTAAGCCCACAGCACCTGGCCATAAAGATGAACTTGTCTCTCTTGTTACTAGCTAGAGTCATTAGGGTGAGAATCTAGGGAGACAACTATAATCAGCCAGGCTTGGCTACTTGTCCTCAACGGGCCAGTTAAAGTGAAAGCAGGGGAGGCTTATTCAGGGTGCTGCATTAGTAAGTGGAAAAAAGAGCCCCCCCCAGTCTACCTTTGATGTCTAGGCGTGAGGTTTGGGTTTAAGTTCAGGGAAAGAGTTATGCAAACCTGAGTATTCCTGGTCAAGGTGTAGTCCTGCCCATCGCCATACTCTCTTCTTTAGTCTCTCATATGAGGAGACGGGTTGTCAGGACTTGTGGAATCTTTCTGGGAGATACGTTCCCCATCTAGCAGACATCAGGCTCCCTCCCAGCCTTTTCCTTGCCCAGCTTGAGACTCCTGGGGGAAATTCCAGTATCCTGGAGTCCATTGTTTCAGCAATTGGACAGCCCGAGGGAGGGACACAAGTATCCCCAGAATATCTTCATTTCTGCCTATGATGCAAAGTTATCCCGTGGCTTCAGCAAAATCTAAGTTCTTCTTCCCCCAGGTGGACCGCCTGTGCATTCAACTGCTCTCCCACGTTTCAGGAGAGCAGTCTCCTGCCAGGTTTCCCCTTGCATTAGAGTCCGATGAAAGACCTTCCAGCTGGCCCTGCCATTTCTCCCAGAGTTCTCCGTCTTCCTAGCTGCCCAGTTCTCCTCCTGAGTTGTGTGGCCTGTGAGCCACGGTCACCATACTCAGCTTCTCTCAGGTGACCATCTTCAGGTTATCAGGACTGGGCTGCCTCTGGAATTAACACTTCAGGAGCTGTCCTTGTGAGCTCATTGCTTCTCAGATCCTTTGCCTTCTCTGTCCCTCTGTTCCTTTTACTTGTCAGGGAAGAACTTCCCACACATCTCCTTGCCGGTCCCTTATCTCCTTGCTATCTATCGAGCTCCAAGCCTGTCTTCTCCAGTGGGAAAAAGAGTTTTGGGGGAGACAGATTCTTCTGTCTCTCAAGGTCCTGAACTGTAGCAGTGTGCACGTTCTCTCTCCTGTGGGTCTCTGTAAGGCAAAAAGCACAGTTGCCATTCCCACACAAGTTGGCTCCCTCTCCTTTGTCTGCTCATCTGTCTCTCCTTCCAGGGAGGGAAGGGCTCAGAGTTCCTGTCTCAGCTGTACCCCAATGCCAGGGATCTCATTTAATTTTCTGTTTTGGCTGAGTGTGTCTGTATAAAAGCCTCAGGCTAGTTCTGGCTAGGTGTCCTGCCACTAACTAACCATGTCAGCCCCTTACACAATCCTGACAGAATCCTTCAGTCTGTTTAGGATTGTCTGGGCCTCACGAGGGTTTAGGCTCTGTGTCTCTCACCTCCCACTATGGAGTTACTTTGTTGAGCCCAGGTATCCTGGTTTCATTGGAACCAAGACTGATTTGTTGAATCTTTTCATTCTAATTGGAGCCTGAACATGGTGTTCAAAATCTTAAGGATATGGGTGAAAAAAATAAGCAGATTACTTAGGCAAGACAAACACCAAGACACTATGAGTCTCCAGGTGTTTGTGGATTTTTTTTTAATTGCATGAGGACTGTGTTGGATGTTATGTGAAACTTCTTTTAAAACTTCATTTTTTAAAAGTGCAATATAATTCACACACTAAAACATGACAGGCAAAAAAAAACATGACATGCATATGCACTTCAGTGAATTTTTACATGTGTATATACAGTTAAAGAACATGTTTTCATACTAATTTGACTATTTGTTGAGTTTATGCTTTTATTTTCTGCAGAAGTTTTTTTTTCCTTTTTGACATTTTCATACAAAGCATTGCAATCCTTTTCCATCTCTCAGTCACCCTTTCATCTCCCTCTTTTGCAAGATGAATCTCCATCTTATAGACCTCCCTTTTCCTGTCTCTCCCTTTAGAAAGCGATTCTCCATTTAATTACTATTTTTGTGAAGGGGCCATATTTCTTGGTCTTTATGGGCACGGTCCCTATTATATGCTCACATATTGGTAGTATGTGGGTATGTATGTGCTGAGGGACATGTTTTTGGGGAGCAATAAGCTTTAGTAATTTTTCTACTTCAAGGAATGTATGACATACTTGGGGGGCATTGAGACACAGATATAATTATTCCCAGAACATGTAATAACTACTAAACTGCTCATCAAAGCAATTGTCATTATCTGACGATCAGATAATGTACAGTCAAAAGCTAATTGTGCAATGAACATAACAAGCATGAGAGAAGTCAGCAGGGGTGGGGGAAAGCTTGGATTGGAACCACTAGAGTTTCTAAAGATGGGCTTGCTTCCTTTTCCATTTCGTTCTCTGCCCTTTCATAAGCTCAATGGAATGGTTTTAGCATGACCTAACCACCCATCCTCTAGATGATAATGATGTTTTGACTTAATTCTTGTGTGTGTGTGCGCGCGCGCGCGCGCGCGCGCGCGCATGTGTGGGCATGTGTGTGCACACGCATGTGTGTGCACATGCATGTGCATGCCTGTTTTAGTTTTCTATGCTAAGACATCATGGCAAAGATAACTTATAAAATAAAAGGTTTAATTTGGGGCTTACAATGGTTCCAGAGGGTCAGAGTTCATTACTGTTATGGTGGGGAACATGGCACCAGGCAGGTGGACATGCAGACATAGCCCTGGGGTAGTAGCTGAGAGCTCACATCTCATTCAGTAGAAGTTGAGGCGGACTGAGAGAGGGAGGGAGAGGGAGGGAGAGAGACTGGGAATGGCATGGGCTTATGTATGTATGTATTTATTTATTCTATGTGTCTTTTACATCATGTATCTTGATCCCATTCATTGCTTTCCGCCCCAGCACACCCTCCAAATAAAACAAAATTTAAGAGAAAAAAGGAAAGAAAAAAATGGAAAAACTTAGAAATCTCATCGTGGAAGCTGAACTGCAGTGTGACACAGTGAGTCACAATGTGAACCCTTTGTCCATTGCAGAGAGTCATTGGTCTGGCTCTACTTTGTCCATTGCAGAGAGTCATTGGTCTGGCTCTACTTTGTCCATTGCAGAGAGTCATTGGTCTGGCTCTACTTTGTCCATTGCAGAGAGTCATTGGTCTGGCTCTAGGCTTCTGGTTTCTGCTGCCCTATTGATGCTGGGTCCTCGTTAGGTCTCCTCCTGGATAATCCTGTTGTTGCCCTGTGCTGTGGAGGTCCTTCAGCTTTGGGCCTGCAGGTCAGGTCTCTTTGAGTGCCCCAGCAGATCATAGGGTGGATGATGGGATGGGCCAACTCATTACCTTGGTTCTGAGCCTGGGCAGTTGTAGAGTTGGCCTGCCAGATGTAAAATGGGGACAGCTCTCCCATGCTTACGACTTTGGGGCTGCCTCTCCTGCACCTGTGCTAACAGTGTTGGCTCTATTGTGCTGCCCTGGTGAGGTGCAGGGCCTGCTCTCCTGAGTGTAGTAGCAGGTGGGGGTTGGGGATGGGTCTCAGTGTGGCCATTGGAAACCTCAAAGCCTTCCCTCAGTGACTCACCTCCTCCAACAAGGCCATACATCCTAAATCCTTCTCAAATAGTTCCACCTTCTGGGAACCAAGTGTTCAAACCTATGAGCATATGGAACAAGTCTCACTGAAACCACCACAAGTTTCCTGACTGGCAAGGAGGTGAAGGTATGCTCAGACACTTGCTTCCTCCAGTTATGACCCTGTGTCCTATCAAAGCAGAGGACCACTTGAACTACAGTCTGTGTCTGAAATGTTCTGAGTTTCCTTTGTGTTAGCAAATATAGTGGGAAATTACCAATACGGAGTCAGGTAGAAATATAAGGGTATTTAATAGGGAAAAGCCTTA